TATTTGCATGGGTTAAATCTTATATTGTACTTTTTTAAGGTGTTAAATGTTTCTTTGAGGTCTTTCAGATGCTCGGTCAAACTCTTGATCTTAACTATTATGTCATCTACATATATTTTCATATTACAGCTGATTTAATTTTTGAATATTTTATTGACCAACCTCTGATAGGTTACCATTGCATTTTTTAATTCAAAAGGCAGAACCTTGTAGCAGTAAAGGCCTTTCTAGGTAATAAAGGCTATTTTATCCTCGTCTTTTTTTAACATATTGATTTGATTATAGCTGAAGTAAACATCCATGAAACTGAGAAGGTTATGCTCGGTACTATCATCCACTAGTGGTCTATGTTAGGGAGAGGAAAGTTATCTTTTGGACAAGCCTTATTCAAGTTCGTAAAGTCCACACATATTTTCCATTTTTCATTATGCTTTTTGACCATAACCACATTGGCAATCCATTAGGGTAGTAGACCTTCTTGATAAAATCAGGTCGTAATAATTTGTCGACCTTTCCCTCAATAACTTGTTGTCTTTCTAGGGTAAAATTTTTTTTCTTTTGTCAAACTAGTTTGACCTCGAAATTAGTATGCAATCTATAAACCATTACTTCGGTATCAATCCCAGATATATCGAACGGTATCCAGGCAAATCAATTGGCATTATCTTTAATAGGTTGAATCAATTGGTCTTTATGCTGAAGCTTGGCTCTGATCTGCATATGTTTTTGAGAAGTATTGTTCCAAAATGAAATTGTTAAAAGGTCATCAACCGATTCAAGTCAGTTTTCATCCAAGTCTGGTCTTTGATCGATTATCTCTTTTTGTTCTATTAGGTCGAGATCATTTACTACGAAAATAGGTCATAACGTGATGATCAATATATTAAATAACTTGTTGAGCATATTAGTAAAAGTGAAATGTATTTTTCATTTAATGTTGTGTTTTAACTGGCGTGTTAGCTCAGTCTAAGTAACATTAATTTTTTTACGCTAGCTTAAGAGCTCGATCATTTCTATTGTTGTATTAAAAAATTTCAAAAAATAGAACAAAGTTAAACTTCTACAAAGCTTAAGAGCTCAGAGCTACTTAAGAGCTTGCTTTTGTGAGATCAACCTTATGTTTTATGCTCTCGTTATTGGTTTTTTACTCCTTGTCAGCTTTCTATGTCGATTCCTCTTTGTCTTTCACCTTAGTATTGATTGAGTTGCCTGTCTGCTTTCTAGTCTTGCCTTTCATTATTGTAACATAACATTGTCGTGTTGTAGACTAGTTTTTTTGAACTTTTCCAACTCTTATAGGTGTTAAAATTTCACTTTTAAGTGGAGAGCTGAGCCTATGAGCCATTGAGCCATATGATAGACGGCTAGGTCGGCTTAATATCATGTTATAGGTAGAAAGAATATCTATCACCATGAACTCCATGATCAAGGTGATCATTTTTAACTTCATTCTTAGAGAGATTGAGAGTTTGATGGTTCTTCTTACTGGCACCTATTCATTTCCAAAACCAACTAGTGTTGTGGTGATTGGTTTCAATTGATTTTTGTTGATCTCTATTTTTTAAAAATAGTCATAGTATATAACATCAGTCGAACTCTCATTGTCAAATAGGATTCTTTTGACCACCTAGTTGTATACCATGGCTATGATCACTATGGCATCATCATATGAGTGTTGAATCCCCTTCAAATCTTTTGAGCTGAATAAGATCGACTTGTATCTCTAATTTTTTTTTCTTAGCCATGGTGTCTATCACCATTATGGAGCTCGGATTGAACTTTCTTTTTGTTGAAGTGGAGCTACCTCTTGTGATCATGTTAATTACCCTGGTAATTAGCCTAATATTGTCAATTTGACTTTTTCCTAATTCAGCTTTTCCCCTTGCACATCCATTCTTCCCTAATCTAATATTCCCTCTCTGCCCCTGATGGGTGCTTTGTAGTCATTATTGTAGTCTTTTTTAAATTGGTCCTATCTTTTCTGTTTGACAAACTTTTTTAGTTGACCTCACTTAATCAGAGCTTCAATCTTATTTTTCAAGTCGACACAGTCTTTTGTATTATAATCGATGTCCCATTAGAAAGTACATCTTTTGGTCGAATCCCGCCTTATATTTTATCTTAGTGGCTTAGGCCATCTGATGTCAGAATTTTTTTCGATTTGTATTAGAATCCTCTAATGGGAGGTATTCAGTGCAATGTTGTTTCTATCTTTGCTAGGGCTTCTAACCTTTTGTTGTTTTTCTTTTGGAGGAAGATTGTAGAATTCTTTGCTTTTTTAAGATTGTAGATTGGGGATGAGCCTTTCTTACCTCAATTTGTTTTCATTGTAACTTTAGCGTTGATAAATTTCTCTGCTATTTGTAAGATGTCGGTCAAAGTTTTGGGTGGTTCCAACAACAATGTCAACTTCAAGTGGTACTCTTTATCATTGAGGCCATTGGTTAATGCAGTAACAGCGACCGTCTATTTTAGGTCTTTGACCTATAAGACTTCTGCGTTAAAACGCGTAACATAACTTTTTAAAGTTTTATTTTGCCCTTGATGAATTGACATTAGGCTTAGGGTTTTTTTCTTAGCTTTTCGGCTACTCACGAATCGAAAAAAGAATGAGTGGTTGAGCTCTTTGAAAGTGGTGATTGACCTCGGCTCCAGACTACTATACCAAGATCGAGCTCTGCCTTTCAAAGTGGTGGCTAGACCTTTGTACATTAGAGCCTTGTCTGCCATTTGTATCATCATGTTAGTTCTATAAAGTTTTAAATGATCAAAGGGGTTAAACGTACCATAATATGTCTTCAAAGTCGACATTTCGAACCTTTTGGGAGGCATGGCTTTGCTGATCTCTTCGGTAAAGGGTGAGGTCTCCAAAAATTTGAGTTCGTCCTTAAATGCTGCTGGGTTCATTTTCAACTTTTTCTCCATGGCCCATATTCGAGCTTACAAATCTTTGTTCGGTTGGGGTTCATAGTCTGCTTGTTTGAACTTTTGGGTTGTGGCATGTGTAGAATTGTAGCTGAGGTGGTGAGGGGTTGGATTGGTATGCTCTTCTTTTCTAAAGGCCAAAAAGGCTTCTGCCTCTTTGTAGCTAGGCTACTAGACAATAACTTCTTAGCCCGGTGTGACTAAGTCTAGAACTTTATAGACTTATGGTGGGATTATAGCTTGGAGCATGTGTTTGATGGCTTGTATTTGCTCGATCAAGAATTGAATTGCTCAATGGTTGGCTTAGCTTGTGGTTAAGTTGGGCGAACAGAATGTCAACTTTGGTGAGTTTTTGTTCTAGTCGGAACGGCTATCTCTCCTTCTTCTGGGGTTTTTTTTTTTTTTTGGGTGTCATGGTTTTGTGTTCGGCTATTATGAAAATGCTAGGACCTTACCTAGCGCTTCAAATATTTGTGTCGAGCTTCGATCTAAAAACAGTCCTGCAAATACAAAAAAGAGGAATGGTTAGAGACAAAAGGTAGGGTGTTCTCAATGTTTGTACTTTGATGTGCAAATCGATAAAAATCAAGTCAGAAAAATAGTAAAAAAGTAAGAAAAAGAGAAATATATAAATTAGATGAATATGTCTTTATAGTACCTGAGTCTTTATATTTATAAGCAAATGAGAGAAACAAAAAGAAACAATTAAGATAAAGCCGAGCTAAGATGATATTTGAGATGTCATATCTACTTAACATGTCAACTTAATTTAAATGACTAAGATACCCTTAATTATCTATTAAAAACTGCATAGGAAAAAATTACTATTCTATTTTAACCATTATATGTCCCTTGTCCAGTGATTATGCATCGGAGAGCATACACAACATCCGGGAAGCACTGCCAGAGCTGTGGGAATCAGATACCAAGAAATCAGAAGTTGTCAGGTATTCTGGAAAGGTTGCAATTCTGACATCAGTGATGGCCTAGCTGATGATGATCACTCAAGTCCAGCTGCTCCCCCTCAACAACAAAATGTTAAAACCGAAATTTCACAATTCCACTATCCCTCCAACATTTGTTCTTGTAAATTTGTATCCATAACCCCCCTTTTCCTCCTCAATGTCGAATTTCTCTCTTTTCACTTTAACCATCATCAATAAAAAAGCATCTCTATTTCTTGATTCAATGTCTGCAATTTGGACATCTAACTTTTCTTAATTCAATGTCTGTAATCTGGACTACACCGATCATCTGCCCCTCTTTATCCCGTCTTTGAAAGAGTAATTGAAAATTTTAAACATACGACACCCTTCATTTTATAAAAAGCAATTTATTTTTTATTTTTTGGCCTGAATCAAATGACCAAATATCATTTCATATCTCTCAAACTCACTTATTAATAATAATAGTAATAATTTAAATTTAAATTCAAATTTTAATTCAATTATTTTTATAATTTTTAAATGACGTCCAACATGAATTATATAAATTATAATTCTATATAAAAATTTAAAATATGGGTTTTTTTTAAAGAATGTTGCTAAATGCATCTCACATTTTCTTTTCGTACTCTCATTTTTTTATTTTTTATAAATAAAATTATTTAATTATTCTTTCAATTTCACACAAATTTTTAAAAAAAATTTTCAAAAAAACGTAAATCTTTTCAAAAATAAATTTCTGAAAAATCATATAATTTTCTGAAAATAAATTTTTGAAAAATTATAAATCTTTTTTAAAATTTATTTTTGAAAAATCAAATAATCGAAAATGTTTATAATTTTTTGAAAATTTATGTTTGAAAAATTATATGAATTTTGGAAAATTTATTTTAAAAAATTATAAAAAAGATAATTAAATAATTTTATTTATAAAAATTTTTAAAAGAAATTAAAATATAAAAAATAAAAAAAATATTTAGCACCACTCTTTTTTAAAAATAAAGCAAGCAAAGCGGTACAAGAGAGAGTCGTGATGGGTGATTTCTGTGGCTAACCGTGTCCGCTAGTTTAACGCGTGTCTCCATTGACGCATCTTTAGTTCGACGTTATTAGGACGCATTAAAGTCGCCAAGTTTTGCTTGGAACACGTGGGCTACCAACCTTTTCATTTCCTTCCAGAATGTGACTTGTCTTCTGTCTTCTCCTTTTCTTTCTCCAATCGCTTCAAACGACTTTCCTACTCCTCTCTCTCCTCTCCTAATGCCTTGTTAAACGCCATTGTTTCCTTCCTTTCTGCTCTCTTTCTCTCCTTTTTTTCTTCATTTTTGTTGGGCTTTAATTAAAATTTTAAAAGGTTTTGTTGTTGTTGCAGTGTTAGTTACTTCGGATCTGGTAATGTTCGGTTCTTTACATGTTTTGTTCTTCATTTTTTTTTTTTTTGAGTTTGTTTAATAATTAACACTACATTTGTTGTTTCATGTCGATTAAGGGTTTTTTTTTTTTTGGGTTAATATTTACGTTGGATGTTTCAATGTATTCTGTCGCTCTGGATATTTAAGACAACAGTGAAATCTTTGTCCGAATTAGGGGTCTTTTTCGTCAATGCAAAAACTTTTTTGGTGATAAAAATGTTTGGTTTTTCCCCTGAAAATGAAACTTCTTTTTAAGCTTTCTTGAATCTCTTGTTTTGGGTTATTCCTGAATTGATAGAAGAATTTGATAGTTTTCTTGGCATTACTTTTTTTGAAGATTAAAAATGGAATATGAAGATCAGATCAATCAGACCATAGGTCCAAAATACCAATGTCTCTTATTTGGTAAATTTCTTATCTTTTTTTTTTAGCATACAAATCTTAATATGTTAAAATGCAAACTTTTTTAAGCTAACCATTTTTTTGGTGTGAACTACTTACAGATTTAGATGACACTCTTTATCCTCTGAGTTCTGGTTTGTCAAGGGAAGTTACCAAGAACATTCAAGGTATTATTATTATTATTGTTTCCTTGAAGGTTCTCATTATTTTGACAAATCCTTAGCTTCCTCTTGAAATTCGTAATCTTTTCTGGATACCCTTTTCTAGAATATATGATTAAGAAGCTTGGATTAGAGGAGGAAAATGTTCCTGAGTTATGTGCTTCATTGTACAAGTATTATGGAACGACAATGGCTGGTCTAAAGGTAAATGCTATCATATCATATCATTTGTTTGAATATCAAAACTCTTTTGAGAATGTTTAGATTATAGAAAGATGACAGATTTTTTTTTTCCTCCAGGCTATTGGCTATGACTTTGATTATGATGATTTTCATGGGTACTGATGTTTCTCCTAGTCATGTTTATCTATAGATGATTTTATGTATGGTATATGGTTCTAACTTTTTCCTTACAGTTTTGTTCATGGGAGATTGCCCTATAAAATGCTAAAACCTGACCCTGTTTTGAGGAATCTCTTGCTTAGCCTGCCCGTTCGAAAAGTTGTAAGATCCTAGTTCTAATTATGGATTGCCATTTGTGATCATTTAGAGGCTCTCTTCTGACTATATTCTGGTCTTGTGTACAGATTTTCACGAACGCAGATAAGAATCATGCTGCCAGGGTGCTTAACAGGTTGGGATTGGAGGACTGCTTTGAAGGGATTATATGCTTTGAGACTCTGAATCCCAAAAACAATGGCAACTCTTCCGCTGATGGTGCAAAATTCATTTCAAACACCGTAATTTTTGACATGAGTAACTACAGTGCTTGCCCTGATTCTGAGCTTGAACTTCCTAGTACTCCAGTTGTCTGCAAACCATTTGAAAAAGCATTTGAACAAGTTTTTGAGATTGCCAACATCAACCCCCAGAAAACGGTAAATTAATCAATCCTTTTACTTTTCAGACCATCCATTAAGTCTAAAATCTTTTGGAGTGATTTGAATAACTCCTATCTATGTTATGATGTCTTGCTTTGCAGTTGTTCTTTGATGACAGCATCCGCAATCTACAGACTGGTAAAAATATGGGCCTTCACACCGTGTGGGTAAGCTACTGTATAAAATAACAAAAAGAATTTGATGCCTGGTGATTTTTCAGTTTGGTTTTGCCTTTCCTGAATTGGTTTGAGAATGTTCTACTCCCTTGTTTCTCTATACAGGTCGGAACTTCTCATGGAACCGACAGTGTGGATCATGCATTGGAGAGCATTCACAACATCAGGGAAGCATTGCCAGAGCTCTGGGAAGCAGATGAGAAGGCTGAGAACATCCGGTATTCTGGGAAGGTTTCTGTCGAGACAACAGTTAGAGCTTAGCTCTTGGACCATATAAGTTTGATAGGTGTTACTACTCTATTTGTAACATGTAACAGAGTGGATCCTAGACATAAGATCTTACTGTTGTATTTAATAAAATTGGTCTCTTTCCCAACCTTGATCGGATATCGTTGTTTTGACTACTAGCATTTTGAACTGTCTCGGGACAACCTTGAAAACAGTCAACAAAAAAAATTACCTTTATCTTCCCTCCCCCTACTGGTTTAAGCAAGGGAACAAAAGGCATCTGATTCTGGGAGATGGTAGAAAGAAATAAGAGAAACACATCCACAGACCACAAATGTCTTAAAAAACTGCTGATTTTCAACTTTATATGTAACAAAATAACTTAAATATCTTGTTTATATAGTCTTGCAAGTCTCTTGTACCCTTGACATTTTAACCATTCAAGTGCCCTATGAGCATAATAATTTTTGAATCAATCTGAATATAATTATTTAAATATATACCAGCAAAAAACCCTGAAGAAGTTTCTGGGACCTTTTGAAGGAAGGGTCTTCAATCAACAAAAATGGGCTATTTGAAATATCAAAGAAGGATGTACCATAGAAAAGTTTGAGTGCGGTCATCCTTTCAGTGAATACTTTTTCCCTGTGAAGGCTTGAAACTTTGGTTTCTCCTCTTTAGGCGCATCTTGACTGTTCTTCATGGCAACCTACAAAAAAAGCCAATAAGAATCCCAAAAAACTAATTATGAATTGACTTCTTGGGGAAATAAAATAAGAATTCTAAACATGTATGTCAATGACTTGAGTAACTTCTATTATTGAACTAGGATGGCAAAACATACTTTTGTTGCTTCCTTTGGGGGCTGATTTCCATTCAAACCAAACACAAGCTTTCCAGATTGTTGACTTGAAGTAGAGCTCGCTGTCTTGGAAGCAACAGTTTCATTAGCAACATTTGAATTATGTGGTTTCAGCATGCGAGAGATAGGCAGTGCAGCTGGTTGCATCAAGGGTTTGCCATCCAAGCGCCTTGCTGAACCACTGAAAGGGCTGAACTTAGGAATTTTTCTTGGTGGCTCTTCTTCAACTGAAACATTCGTGCAGTGGTCATTTGATGAAAGGAATCATATTTAGATTTAGTCATGAATATTTTTTCTTTCTTCTAGAAAAAAACAAAAAGAACAAAAGAGAGGAAAACCTTCAGGTGGCATCTTGTTTGACCGTAGAGAGGGAGCTGGCTTTTCAGGTTCTTTATAATCAAGAGGAGGGGCAAAGTCCACCTCACAATCAGTTTCAATGATACTGACTGCTGGGGAGGGTTTTGTTTCAACTATATTAATATAGTACTTTTTATTGTTATAAGGGACCATGATAGTGTCACCAACGGTTAAGCAAGAGTAACTCCTCAGTGTAGTTTCCAAGCTGCAACCAAACACAGAAGAAAAGGAATTTAAGAAATGAAAGCAGATAATAGCATTTGCTAATCCATAAGACATTGCCAAGAAGATAACTAACATTGCTTTGGGGTTGGAGATGTCTAAGAAGTCTTTAGTGTGCGGCTGCAGTTTGACATAAGTTCCCTTTGTTAAGCTAGCATTTTTAACCTGCACAATATCTCCCTCTTGAAGGAGCATGTTCTCCATCATCTGAAACCAAAAACGCAGAATAAGCTAGCAGCAGAAAATCAACAAAACACCATCTTTAAATCACGATATTAAAAGAATAAAGACAATTTAAAACCATACCCAATATGGTAAGTATATCAGGCCTTCATCTGCAACAAATTCTAAAACCCCACAATGAGAAACTCGTTCAGCTGAAGCATTAGTCAACTCGAATAACATTGGGTACTCAACATGCAAGGATGCTGGCGAGTAAGCGTCTCGTTAATATTAGGATTAAACAATGCTTGCATTTGCATGCATTAACAGGGATACAAAGAAGGAAGTTATCTACTTACCAAGACGATCAAGGGCCGAAGGAGGCATAATAACTGTAAAACAACAAGCCACCTTGATAATTAGTCAATTGCCTTGAATTTGGAAAATGACACTAGAGTGAGGATGAGAAAGAGGGAGAAACGTAATATCATATAAATTGGTGAAGAAGATCAACATACCTTTATCTCCCTTCTCTAGATGCGCCTGAAAAAATTAAAATAAATTAGAATCAAAGCGGAATGAAAACTCATGGAACAATCAAGAACACTTCAATTGCAAATATAGAACACAGTAGCCAATAAATTGGAATATTCTACACCTCAATCAACCTAAGAGGACACTAAAGGCGTGTATAGGATCATCTACAGAGTGCAGTGATAAAAGTTTAACCAACAAAATTCTTTTTTCTCTGTGTCCTGCATTGAAGGTGTAAGCCTCTAACCTTATCAATGAAAGAGACAGGGTAACATCGATAACATTGTTCAAACGTTGAATTGCCACGTTCCTGCCAATCAACAAAAATAAATGAGCAAATAAGAGAGAAAGTCACAATTATTTAAAAACCATAGGCTAAGCTAGAGTCAACCAGTAAGTTTGTCAAGCTAAATAGAAGATCGTTCAAGCTTTTGATCTATTCCGGGAAATACTGCTACATTAGGTTGTGATCAATTAGTAAAATAGTAAATATCAGTCATAGAAACAACTTGTCATAAAGCTTATGATCAATTATCAATGATCACATTGTTATGATCAATTAATAGCATTCAAACCGAATTGCCAATGGCTTTCTCAATTACATTAAATGACCTTAAAACAAAAACAAAACGAGAACGAAAAACTATAAATCACTAAACATACCATGATCGAAAAGTTCCAGCTCAATAACTTCTTCCTTGAAGATTACTAAAAAATCTGCCATAAAAGAAAAAGAGTCAATAAATCAAAGAGATAAGTGATATTAATGATGCAATAAACAAAACCCAGTTCCCATCTTGATCAACCAAAGCCAAAACAACCGATTTGATAAAAATGATTTAAGACTTTAACATGCAACAACAATCCCATCAAAAACATCTTCTTGAACAAAGGAACAAAGATAAAACAAAAAACAAAAAAAAAGGACCCAGTTTTTTAAAAGGTGGAAAGACAAGAGACAAAGCTTGAAAGAGAGAACTTTGTGAATCTGATGACGACATAAATGTGAAAACAAAAGTGGGTTTTGGGTTTTTGATCGAAATTTGGAACCTTTGCGTTGGTTCTGATGGCTGAAGAAGAGGATTGCCAAATTTTGTGTTATATCGAAGGCTCCCTACTTGCTCTTTAATGGGCCTTTTTTTTTTAATTTTTTATTTCAACTTTTTTATGGGTTTATGAGATTCAAGTCCTGATAAAGCTAGAATTGATGTTCTATCATTGTGAAAGTGTAAATTGTTCTTCAATTATTTCCATTTTTATCCGAGGTCAAAATCACCGTACCCGCTAATCTTGTTGCAGTTCGAGTTTACTTTGTATTAAATTAAACAAAATATAAAAATAAATTTATCTTCATTTATTCTTTTTGTTTTCTTTAAAAGTATATATTATTACGTTAAAATTTAAAATTACGTAACTGTGATATATTTTATATTATTTTTATATGATATTATTATATCATATTTAAAATTATCAAATGTAAACATCATAAAATTGTATTCTAATTTATCAGATTTTTCTTTTATATTTTTTAATGTAAAAATCCATAGATTGGATTTTGTACACATTTTTTAATTTTTTATTTATTCAAAAAAATACAATTACAAAGATTAGAAGTGATAATAATTTAGATCAAATTTAGTTCAATTTCTTTTTAATAATGTATAATATTATAAATTTTTAAAATTTGATTCGAATTTAAATTGATATTTTCTTAAAATTAATTTGATCTGAATTAAATTTTACTTATTCAATTCGATTCATCGATTTTTAAATTTATTTTATTTTTTATATATTATTTTAATAAGATGTTTAATATATTTAAATATATTTTTACATAAAATAATTATTTTTGTTTTATGAAAATTTAAAATATATATAAACTAATAAAAATATATAATTCGATTGATTTATTTTTTTATTTTTATTAATAAATATATTTAATATTCAAATTTGATATCAATAAAATAAAAAAAATTAAATCTAATTAAATATTACAATTTCAATCAATTATTTTATTTTATTTTATTTTTACCATTATTAATAATGGTAGAGCTTGGTGGACCTCAATTGGCCCCTTTAGATTAGGCCGACATGGGCTGTAGACTGATAATTCCAATTCAAGTCAGCCCAAGAAATAGCGATTGGCAGCCCTTAATTAGAAAACAGAGCAAAACAAAATTGAGTTTCTCAGAACCCTCGTTTTCCCTTCCTCTGTTTCCCTCTGACAAAAAGAGTAAAGGGATAAATATAACCAAAATAGTAATTCACTTATCTTTAATTCCAAGTGTGTTTTTGACATTGGAGGAAAGTTTGGCGGCTATAATGGCGAAGCGAGAGCTCTCCAGTACTTTGAGAGGCTTGAAGGTAAACCAACAGAACAAAACTTATTCTTTCTTAATAGTAGTTTTTTTTTTTTTGCTTGAATTTTTTTACCAACTTGTGATTTTAGCTGGTTTTTTGTTTAATTTATGTGGGTATTTATTATTTTGTTGATTTTCCTTTGAATTTGTAATAAAAATGCTTCTTTTTTTTGCTTATATAGATTCTTGAGTTCCTTATATGGCTACTTGAAATTTGGGCTAGGCCTTGTGTTAATTCATCTGGGTTTCATTTATTTTGTTATTTTTTTTTCAAGTTGAAAAAATAATTGAGTCTTTAACTTAAGTTTCCATTGTATTTAATGCAATAATAGTTCATGCAAAGGGCAGCTCAGAGAGAGGAGAAAGTTAAGAAAGAAGAAGAGGTTAAACCTGAAGGCAGTAGTACTATTACTAGAAAATGGTACAAAGATTTCACCTTTTTTTGAATTATCTGAAATATGTAAAATTTGTTAAACATTCTTCTTTCTTTAGTGCTTGTTAAGTTTCTGTTATGATATGCCATGAGCCTTTGACGTTATGCCACATCCAATGTAATTGTATGATTGCACATATGAGGAAAAAGATGTAGCTAGGTTATACTTTATTTGGTCCATGAACTTATATCAATATGTTGTTTCCTCGGAGTTGAAGATTCTTGCAATGCCGGTCATTGGAATAAATCCTTGATAAATATATTTGTGTGTAGAATTAAGGGGGAAAAAAAGGAGGGATTCATGAAAAATAAAATTTCTAGGATGTAACTACTTTGTGAGATCTGCTCATTTGCTTCTGACCTTTGCCCAATTTCAATTTGTTTAATTCCAATCTTGTATTTGCATATGTTCAGTGTGGTCATTATGGAAGGGGATCCCCATCCAGGAGCAATTGTTGGGCGGATGTCATTTCAAAGTTTCAATCCGTCTATTGATGTGAGTATCAAGGTCAAGTGACCTAAGTTTTTCCCAAATGACTATTCACCTTCTGTGATTTTCTCATGGCTTCTGCCCTCATATGAAAGCCTTGTCTTTGTAGAAACTGAATGAAGAAGCATCAAATGTGTGTCGGCCAGATGCCTCTGGTGGAAGATCTTTGTCTGGGTGGGTTTTTTTTTTTTTTTTTAATTCAACAGGTGTTGTGTTACTTTTCTGAAAGTTTTTCAAAATTATTATGCAGTTTGTGTTGGAATTATAAAGTACTCTTTAAGAAATGAAAGATTTTAATCAAAGTTATAACTCTTGAAATGAAAGTCCAACATTTAGTATTACTAACGGGCCTGAAATGGAAGAAATATGGGCATGTTGAGATGGAATTGCTATGAGTTACATGTAGCTTTTCTTCAGATGGTAGGGTAAGTTGAAATTGAGCACATGTTTGCACAAGATGCATGTTTTTTATCTGATTTTTTTGTCCTTGAATTGGCAGTGATAATGGATCTGCATCTGAAGCAGCTGACTGCTCAAAAGTCAGTACAGATAATGGAGACCTTAAGAGAAAACAGTCTAACATAGATTCTGACCCACAGTATCCAAATAAATCACCTAAAGATGGTCATGGAGTTCAACTTTCATCAAGCACTAGTAAAGTCTCCTCCAAAAAGCAGTCAAAGCGTGAGAAACTGGACTGGAATGTTCTCAGGCCACCAAAGTCTAGTAGGTGATCATAATTAGGAAATTGTGTTCACCATTATGAGCCCATTAATATTTCTTTTCAAGTCCTATAATTGAATATGTAACCCTGTTGTCATATTATTGAAGCTCAGCTTTCTTAACTTTAAAATTTGTTCATTGAAGTTAATTTGCCTTTTTCTACCCCATCCACAACTGCATGTTAACTCTTGTGGATGGAAGCAGTTTAAGTTGATTTACTTGTGATCAAGCCAAGAACCTGAAGTTGGTGAACAGCTTGAATGAGTTTCTAGCTGTTTGTCTGCTTGTGCTGAATTGGCTCTCTTGTGAATAGCTGTATATTTCTTCAAAACACTAAACAGTGACTTAATTGGTTGTGGCGCTAGTAGGATTTGTCTTCAGTCCAACACATATTCTATATGAAAGTTGTTTAGTTTCCATCAGATAATTGTTTCTGATATTTCAATAACTGCAACAGTGACCCTCTTATATCATCTCTCCACCCTCTTATATCATCTCTCCCCCACTTTCTCTTAGTGGGGGAGCTTGAGCTTGTAGTTTGGACAGCATCTAACTTTTCTGTGAAGTATACTATTGTTGCAGCCTTGCCTTAGCTTCTATTCTGAGTATATATCTGATTCATGAGTAATGATCACAAAAAGATTGTCATCTGATGGCCATCAACCTGCATCTAATAATGAAGCATGTAATCTGCGAAATGGTAAAGCTAATGTCATGGCAGGTTACAGTGAGAAATAAAAGGGTTTCCTCAAAATTTCAAAGTTTATTTCCAGGGCCCTTCCCGTGTCACCGTGTATGCTTATTTGAAACACCGCTTCTGGGGACCTTCTAGTCAATACCTGGGAAGACACTTCCCTCCTCGCCAAACAAGGGGGAAAAAAAAAAGAAAACCAAAGGATTTGTTACCTACTTGCTTGTGAACGCAAAAGAAAGCATTCTAAATAGAGCGAATTGGAGTTAATAAGCTTTAACACACATGCAACCTTTACTTCTAGGAATTCATATTTTACGACTACACCAGATAGGATGGTGAGTCTACAGAATGATGCAATAGCCCTTGGAAGGAATTACTAAAGAAACTAATCTGCGATTTACAGCCGGAGCTATTACTCCTCATCACAGTTGATTCCTGAGAGGTTTCCAACATGAAAGGGCATAAATAACTCTCCCCTTCCATCCCTGCAGCACCCAGCGGCCATCCACATCTATAAGAAAATCCCTATGATAACTAGATTGGACAAAATTCGTCACTTTATTCATGAGCTCCTGATCCAATGGAACTTGCTTGAACCCGGCCCTCAAAGTCCTAGCCTGCCATTGCTTGTACGTTTCTGGCCTTTCAACCCTCTCGGTACCCTCGCATGCAACAACATTCATAATGTCTCTGCCAAGTATCTCCTTCTCAAACATCTTTCTTTGTGGATCTTCCCTGGGAACATTAGCTTCAAATATATCGAACTGTGCAGAGAAATGGAAAAGTGCCTCCCGGAACCTTGTCACAAAGAAGGGAGCATTATATGTCCCGCTTGCGATCCCATGGATTAATAATTCAGGGTTGATGCTTCTGATCAATTTCAGAACAGTGTCCCTCGCACTGGTTCCCACCACTGTGTCATCTGGTAGGTTCTTTAGCCGATACATGCAGTTAACAACAACAACTTCATCTTCATTAATCTTTATTTCCTCAAGTTCTATAGTTTCCCATTTCTTTGCTATCACGTAGTACTCAAAAGGGACATTGAATCTCTCACAATACCTTTTCAAGCGGCGCCCCGTCTCTTCCACCCTTTCTGCAGGTCGGAAACCTGGTTGTGGAAACTCAATACCGGTAATACGAAGCTTGGGAGGTCCACCAGCCCTTGCTGAGAGACGCTGGATGAGGCAAGGCCATTGAAACCCATAGCAAATGCCAAAATCAACGATGTGGATCGAGGTTTCCTTTTTTGCCACTTCCATTATCTTTTTATTTGCGTAGAAATTTGACATTTTCTTAAAGGGGCAAGCTAAAGCATACACTCCGTAAGCTTTTAGGATATCAGCAGCCGAAGTCCTGCTGCTTAGCAGAGGTGAATACGATGGTGCTCCCATGCCAGCCAAACGCGTCATAAGGGCATTAGCAAAGTAATGTGCCAATCTTTGGGTTCCATCTCCAGAAGAAGAAGAGTGCTGACTTATCTGTTTCAGCAGCTCATTGCCAGTCCTTTGGTCATTGATGGCTACAGCTTGTGCACATTGAGTAAGGAGACTCCATAAATCCACCACTTCACTCTTCTTGCCTTTTTTCTTTAGCCCTTTTAGCTGTCCATTCTGCTGATAGTTCCCATAAAGAGAACATTTTGGAGAGTCCTCATTTTCACCCTTGCAAAGCAGTAAATCGTCGAACATCTCTGACTGCTCTGAATCTTCAAGAGAAAGTGCAGATTGCTTGCTGCTCCTACCTTCTTCCAAATGATCATCATCCTCACGCTGATAATTTTTCCTTCCCCTTGACCCTAATGGTGATTGATACCTTCCATTAGGAACAGAAGGCGTTGATAGGTTGCTTTCTGGAGCCAAATTCACTTTATCACCAATGAGAGAGGGCTTACTGGCTTCCCCAATCTCACTTCTGAAGTGCCTAAAAGGCTCTATCGTGGTCTCTCTTTGTAAATTCGGCACTAAAGAGGTTCTTTCAAGAGAATCAATAAGAGAAGTTTGAATGTAAGAGGACTCGAATTCACCTGGACTATATATCCCACTCCATTCAACCGAGTTGGTAGCAGTAGTATAGTTGATACTGCTACAAATACTTCTGCTCTGGCTGAGATTATCATCTGGTTTATAACAATTTTGACCCGTACATGGAGATATAGGATCGGCTGATAGTGGATACTCGTGGCCAAGGACTTCATAGAATGATTTTTCAGCAGCTTGGAGAGCTAAGCAATCCTGCAACATGCATGTTTTTTCCTCCAGGTCTTCTTCCATTAGCATCTCATTTATGTACTTGAGCATTTCATTGGCAAAAGGAACATTGTCAAGAGGATGTCCAACTGAACTCGTGCCTGATGATGAATCAGAATCAACAGGAGACTCTGGACTAGAAGGAAGCGAAGGCGGACTTGGAAAATTTTGCTCAATGCTCTCTTTAAACCCATTAACAAGGTTGTGATTTGAATACATTGGCACTGAGTCATTATCTGATTTGAACCCATACATGGAAGCAGGAAAATCTTGGAAAAGGGTATCCATAGAAAGTTAGAAACCTAATCTGATAAAAAATATTTAACGAAACTGGATTGAAAAAAAAAAGAAAAACTAAAAACTGACACACTCTGGTTGATTGCAAAGACTCGTTAGGAAAAATAGAAGAGACAATAAATATTACAAGATAGGAAATCAAGAAATTAATTGGCTAACATTGGGTTGAAGAGATATAAAGGAAAGAATTGAAAGAACCAAAACTGAAAAGAAGGTAGTCTACGAGCTAAGTAGAGAACCTGGATAATTCCATAGTTTTAACAAACAAATCTGAAGATGCTCCTCCGGTTATAAAGGTTGAGCTGTTAAGCTTTCTGAGTGAACCCTCTCCGAAAATACAGTTATGATAGAACAGTCTTCATACCCACGGTTTTGAGAGTGTCCCAGAGCAATCAGGGAATTAAATTGATAAAAGTTGACTGTTATGGAAACAGTGATTATTAACAAAAATTGCTTGATGCGCAAGAGATTTGAACATTCTACTTTACAAAATTGTCTTTAAATCACGAACGTGTCACGAGTTAGAAGCTTAAGTTTAGCAACCTACAATCTTAGGAAAGAGACAAAGCTTAAGCTTCCAGCGCGTGACAAATGTTGGGAGTTTAAGTTTAACAACCGTCCGACCTCAGGCAAGAAACAACGCTTAAACTCTCAGCATGTGACAAACGTGTGGTATTGGTGGGATGTGTTGTTACATGACATTATGACAATGACCTAATTTATTAGATTGTCTTTTTTTTTTTTTAATTTTTCGGAAAATCAATCAATATTATCTGATGAAATTTAAGTCGCTTTCATTGATATTAAATTAAATGTAATTGTTGGCTCATGATATTTTTTCCCAAAAAATTATTTGATTAATTTTCAAATATCTAATATTGTTATGGTTTTTAAACTTTAAAAGCTTATTATTTATATTATATAAAATATTTATAATTTATATATTTTTGTTATAATTTACATAAAAATTATGCTACGACTTATATCAACATTAAAAATATAAAATATAAAATTTTTATTTTTAATAAATTTATATATAATTTTTATTAAAATTTTAATTCACATTATATTTATATTTTTATATTATAATATTTTATTATATTTTAAATTATCACATCAACTTTTGGTTTCCTATCTTTTCTCTTTGTTTGAAACCAGGCTGCTTTTTACCGTCTTATGTCAGAGCCAGTTGTTTACTAATTTTGTTTGATGCTTAAATATTCTAAAATTGTTTTACATTTCAAGTTTCAACAATATTCCATGAAAGAGACTAAACAATTTTTGATTAATTTGTTTTGAATCAAAATTTAAAAAGTGGGAAAAACTCAATTCTAAACCCAAATTTAATGAATGATCTGATTCACTTTATTTATGTTTATATATATATATATATTTTTTCCTTTCTTGCTTTTCACGCACTCAATTATTGATCTGATTCATTTTATTTACGTTTATATATATATATATATATTTTTTTTTTCCTTTCTTGCTTTCCACGCACCCAATTATTGATTTTTTAAATCAACACAAAACAACTCCCAATTGGACTGTAGTTTGATTAAGGTAACAGCTGAAAAGGAAAGACGTTTGTTTATAGCCGCCAAGCAAGGATTGTGTCAGCTCAAAGAACTGAAAAGACCAACAAAAATCTTGATCCAATTCTTAAATTCAAATAATCTAATCTATCCGAGTATAAAGCAACATGTGAACTGAAGTGTTTTTACGCAAGAGAAAGGCGAATGAAGTGAGAAATTTTTTTTTTTTTTTGGCTAAAATTTATTGAAGCAATCTGAACTTATTTATAATCAAACAGATTCCGCCTTGAGAAGTATAGGCTTCCATGAAGATTGCTATACTATGGCCCAAGCTGTTTCTAATAACGTGAATTATATAAGGGCTAGCTGCTGGGCTCGGTTTCCAGGATTCTTATGGGAAAAGGGCCTACTCTCTATTCAATGTTTTTTTTCTTGTCAGAAACAATTTTTGGATTTTTCTTTAACAGGCTGTCATGTTAATTAATAGAAATATGAGAACTCTCACACTCCTGGCCAGTTCCAGCAGGAAAGAGCATGGATGACTCTCTCCTTCCATCCCCGAAGCATCCACTGGCAATCCACCTCAATAACAAAAACCTTATGGTAGTTTGATTGCAACACTGTCATTGCCCTATTCAATATCTTTGGTCTAAAGGAAGCTACCTGGAACCAGCTTTCCCGTTTTCCGACTGCCACTGTTGCTTGTATGTTTCTGGTCTGTCAATTCTGATCATTTGTAACTAACATATGATAAATCTGAATCATGAGTAATGATCACAAAAAGGTTGTCATCTGATCGCCATCATACCTGCATCTAATAATGAAGCATGTAACCAGAGAAATGGTAAAGCTAATGTCATGGCAGGTTACGGTAAGAAATGAAATGGTTTCCTTAAAATTCCAAAATTTATTTCCAGGGACCTTTTCATGAATACTTATTTGCAACACTGTGCTTCTGGAGACAGCCTTGTAGTCAATCCCTGGAAAGACACTTCCCCTTCAAACATGGAGAAAAAGGAAAGAAAAGCATAGGATTTGTCATCTACTTGCTTGTGAACGCAAATGAATTCATTCTAAATGGAGCAAATTGGAGCTGATGAGCTTTAACACACATGCAATGCAACCTTTACTTCTAGGAGTTCATAGTTTAAAACTACACCAAATAGGATGGTAAGTCTACTGAATAATGTGATTGCCCTTGGAAGAAATTACTAAAGAAACTAATCTGCGATTTTCAGACGGAACTATTACTCCTCATCACAGTTGATTCCTGACAGGTTTCCAACATGAAAGGGCATAAATAACTCTCCCCTTCCACCCCTGCAGCATCCAGCGGCCATCCACATCTATAACAAAATCCCTATGATAACTAGATTGGACAAAATTCGTCACTTTATTCATGAGCTCCTGATCCAATGGAACTTGCTTGAACCCGGCCCTCAAATTCCTAGCCTGCCATTGCTTGTACGTTTCTGGCCTCTCAACCCTTTCGGTACCCTCGCATGCAACAACATTCATAATGTCTCTGCCAAGTACTTCCTTCTCAAACATCTTCCTTTGTGGATCTTCCCTGGGAACATTAGCTTCAAATATATCGAACTGTGCAGAGAAATGGAAGAGTGCCTCCCGGAACCTTGTCTCAAAGAAGGAAGCATTATATGTACCGCTTGCGATCCCATGGATGAATAATTCAGGGTTGATGCTTCTGATCAATTTCAGAACAGTGTCCCTCGCACTGGTTCCCGCCACTGTGTCATCTGGTAGGTTCTTTAGCCGATACATGCAGTTAACAACAACAACTTCATCTTCATTAATCTTTATTTCCTCAAGTTCTATAGTTTCCCATTTCTTTGCTATCACGTAGTACTCAAAAGGGACATTGAATCTCTCACAATACCTTTTCAAGCGGCGCCCCGTCTCTTCCACCCTTTCTGCAGGTCGGAAACCTGGTTGTGGAAACTCAATACCGGTAATACGAAGCTTGGGAGGTCCACCAGCCCTTGCTGAGAGACGCTGGATGAGGCAAGGCCATTGAAACCCATAGCAAATGCCAAAATCAACGATGTGGAGCGTGGTTTCCTTTTCTGCCACTTCCATTATCTTTTTATTTGCGTAGAAATTTGACATTTTCTTAAAGGGGCAAGCTAAAACATATACTCCGTAAGCTTTTAGGATATCAGCAGCCGAAGTCCTGTTGCTTAGCAGAGGTGAATACGACGGTGCCCCCATGCCAGCCAAACGCGTCTTAAGGGCATTAGCAAAGTAATGTGCCAATCTTTGGGTTCCATCTCCGGAAGAAGAAGAGTGCTGACTTATCTGTTTCAGCAGCTCATTGGCAGTACTTTGCTCATTGATGGCTACAGCTTGTGCACATTGAGTAAGGAGACTCCATAAATCCACCACTTCACTCTTCTTGCCGTTTTTCTTTCGGCCTGTTTTTCCACCTTTAGACCCTTTTAACTGTTCATTCTGATGCAAGTTCCCAGAAAAAGAACATTTTGGAGAGTCCTCATTTTCACCCTTGCAAAGCAGTACATCGTCGAACATCTCTAATTGCTCTGAATCTTCAAGAGAAAGTGCAGATTGCTTGCTGCTCCTACCTTCTTCCAAATTATCACCATCCTCACGCTGATAATTTTTCTTTCCCCTTGACCCTGATGGTGATTGATACCTTCCATCAAGAAAAGAAGGCGTTGATAGGTTGCTTTGTGGAGGCAAATTCACCTCATCACCACTGAGAGAGGGCTTACTGGCTTCCCCAATCTCTCTTCCGAAGTGCCTAAAAGGCTCCATCGTGGTCTCTCTTTGTAAATTCGGCACTAAAGAGGTTCTTTTAAGAGAATCATTAAGAGAAGTTTGAATGTAAGAGGACTCGAACTCACTTGGACTATATATCCCACTCCATTCAACCGAGTTGGTAGCAGTAGTATAGCTGTTACTGCTACAAATACTTCTGCTCTGGGTCAGATTATCATCTGGTTTATAATAATTTTGACCCGTACATGGAGATATAGGATCGGCTGAAAGTGGATACTCGTGGCCAAGGACTTCATAGAATGATTTTTCAGCAGCTTGGAGAGATAAGCAATCCTGCAACATGCATGTCTTTTCCTCCAGGTCTTCTTCCATTAGCATCTCATTTATGTACCTGAGCATTTCATTGGCAAAAGGAACATTGTCAAGAGGATGTCCAACTGAACTAATCATGCCTGATGATGAATCAGAATCAACAGGAGACTCTGGACTAGTAGGAAGCGAAGTCGGACTCGGAATAATTTGCTCAGTGCTCTCTTTAAACCTATTAACAAGGTTGTGATTTGAGTACACTGGCACTGAGTCAAGATCAGATTTGAACCCATACATGGAACTAGTTAAATCTTGGAAAATGGTATCCATAGAAAGTTTGAAACCTATCTGACATAAAAACACCTGACTGAAACTGGTTTGAAAAAAAAAAAGAAACTAAAAAGTTAATTGAATATTATAAGATAAGAGATCAAGAAACTCATTGGCTAAACATGGGTTGAACAGATATAAATGAAACAACTGAAAGAACCCAAACTGAAAAGAAAAGTAGTGAAAGAGTCAATCAGAGAACCTGGATAATTCCATAGTTTCAAGAAATAAAATTGAAGATACTCTTTCAAGAAATAAAATTGAAAATGCTCTTTAGTTATAAAGGTCAAACTGTTAAGTTTTCTGAGTGAACTTTCTAGGAAAGTACAGTAATGACAAAGCAGACCTGACCTCGCACTCACGGTTTTGACACAGATTTTAGTGTTCTCAGAGTAATTGGGGGAAATTACAGAAAAGTTAACTTTTATGGAGACGGAACTTATTAACAAAATTTGCTTGATGGACAAGAGATTCGAACATTCTGTTTTTGGCCAAGTGGGAACGCAAAAACTGTTATCTTTATACCATGAACGCGGTTTACTGGTGGGATGTGTTGTCCCAATGACATTTTGACAATGACCCAATTTATTAAATTGTTTTTTCCCAAAATAATGAATATTACCTGATAAAGTTTGTCACTTGACCCAATTTATTAAATTGTTTTTTTCTCAAAATAATGAATATTACCTGTCAAAGAATGTCACTTTATCAAAACCTTTCGTGATATTAAATGAAAGGTGACTGTTGACTTATGATATTTTTTTCTAAAAAACTTATTTGATTAATCTTTAAATATCTAATGTTTTTGTGGCTCTATCACTTTAGTTATATTTAAAATTTTATATATTTATATTATGTAAAATATTTATAATTTATATATTTATATTAAAATTATATATTATAATTTATATTTATGTTAACAACATAAAATATATATTTTTATTTTATTAAATTTATATATTATTTTTATTAAAATTTTAATTCATATTACATTTATAATTTTTATATCATTTTTACATTATGTCATTTTATTGTATCTTAAATTGCTGGTTTCCTTTATTTTTTTTCTTTGATTGAAACCTAGCTACTTTCTAAGCTTTTTACCCTCCCATGTTATTGCTAGTTGCATTCTATTTTTTTTAATGTTTAAATATTCTAAAATTGTTTTACATTTCAAGCTTCAACAATATTTCATGAAAGAGGCTCAACAATTCTTGATTAATCTTGTCAATGACATTTTAGTATTTAAAGAGTAAAATACACTTTTCTTTTATCGGTATGAATCAGTTGATAAATATGAATTTTTTATTATTTTGAATGGAACTAATATATTATGTCAATTTAAAATTTCAAAATTCATATTAGTTTACTCATTTCAATAATTTTTAAGTTAGTATCTTATAATATTGACTTATCATATTTATAATAGGCTATCAGTTTAGTTCAAATTTACGAAATCAATCTTAAATCTTTAATATTAATTCAAACAATTTAAACGTAAAATTTTTCATCATACATATATAAATAATATTATTTAAATTCTTTTAATTCATCTTGAACTCTTTCGATTTTAAATCTTTATTACATTATATTTTTTTTCTCTCTTAGATTAATTTTTAATTTGAATTTTAAAATTCAAACGTTAGAGTCACTCTCTATAGTTGTCCTTGATTGTTGTCTTTTATCTCTCTTACTTTTTCAAATTTCTATCCTTAAAACAAGTTTGTTCTAAATCAAAAGTTAAAAAATGAGAAAACCTCAATTTCAAGCCCAAATTCAATGAATGATCCGATTCACTTTATTCACTTTTTTTTTTTTTTCCGCTTCTCGCTTTCTATGCATCAAATTATTGAAGTTTTAAAACAACAAAAAACAACTCTCAATTGAAATGTAGTTTGACTAAGACAAGAGCTGAAAAGGAAAGCCATTAACGTTTGCTTGTAGCCGCCAAGCAAGGATTGGGTCAAAACTTAAAAAACTGAAAAGACCAACAAAAATCTTAATCCAATTCTTTTTTTTTTTTTTTAATATAAGAATCCAATTCTTAAATTCAAATAATCTAATCTATCTGTTTTTACACAAGGCAGATAGGCGAAGTGAAAGAATTTTTTTCTGACTAAATTTTGTTGAAACAATCTGAACTTATTTATAATCAAACAGATTCGGCCTAGAGAAGTATAGGCTCCATGAAGATTGCCATCTTATGGTCCAAGCTATTTTCAATGACGTGAATTATATAAGGGCTAGGTGCCGGGCTTGGTTTCCAGGATTCTTAGAGAAAAAGGGGGTACTCTCCAGATAAGGGTATTCAATGTTATTTTTCTTGTCAGAAACAATTTTTGGGTTTTTCCTTAACAGCCTATTTATCATGTTAATTAATAAAAATATTAGAGCTCTCACACTCCTGAACAGGTTTCCAGTAGGAAAGAGCATGGATGACTCTCCCCTTCCATCCCTGAAGCATCCACAGGCCATCCACCTCAATAACAAGAACCTTATGGTAGTTTGATTGCAACACTGTCCTTGCCCTGTTCAATATATTTTGGTCTAAAGGCAGCTGCATGGAACCAGCTTTCTGGTTCCTCAACTGCCACTGCTCCTTGTATGTTTCTGGTTTGTCAATTCTCTCTAGCCCCTCATATGCAATAACATCTCTTCCAAGCAGCTAGCTATCTGGATCTTCGCGAGGTACATTAACCTCCAGGATGTCAAACATTGCTGACAAGTGGAAGAATGCCTCTCGAAATCACGTAACAAATAATGGGACATTGTAACTACCATTAACAACTCCATGGATAAAAAGAACTACATTAATTCTCTTGATCAACTTTAAAGCTTAAAACAATGATCCTTGGACCGTTTAATTTCACAGAATCGTCAGGCAGATTCCTTAGCCTGTACATACAGTTAACAACAATCAACTCATCTCCTTCAATCTTTAGATCCTGAACTTGGATGGATTCCCATCTCTTTGCTATGACATTGCACTCAAATGGGGCATTAACATTCTCAGAACATTTTCTTAAACGACGACCTGTTGCTTCAATTCTTTCTGCTGGCCGGGACTCTGGTTGGGGAAAATCAATTCCCGCAATGCGGAGCTTAGGAAGCCCGCTACGCCTTGTTGAGAGACGCTGAATAAGGCAGGGCCATTGAAAACCATAGGCAATGCCAAGATCAATAACGTAGAATGTTGTTGCCTTTTGTGCTAGTTTTGCAATGTTTCGATTTGAAAACAAATTTGATTTCCTCTTGAAAGGGCATGCTGAAACATTAAAAAATTGTAGGCGTTTAAGATATCAGCAGCCAATGTGCCATTCCTTGGAATAGGGGTTTACAGAGGTGTCCCGGAGCCATTTAAGCTTACCTCTGGACCCTTGGCAAAGTAATGAGCTAACCTCTCAGTTCCATCACCAAAAGGAGAAGAGTGTCGCCTAATCTTGCCGAGTGGCTCAGTTGCAGTTCTTTGGTCATAGATGACACAGCCTGTGCTCATTGAGTTAAGAGACTCCACAAATCCACCATTTCCTTTTCATTAACTCAGTGGCATTGAAAATGTGCGAGTTCCTAAATCCAATGTGTTTGAATTGGCAGAGGCCATCCCCTGCTTTTACCCTTTGGCAATTGAATCTTCAATTCTTTCTTTCATAATGAAAAAAAAAAAACAAGAAAAACAAAAAAAACTTAGATCCTGACTTTCTCCTCACGGGCTCACAATCTTCCCCAGTCAGACTTAAAGGTGGAGGTTTGGTGATTGGCAGCACTCAATAGAACTGATTTATCTCTCATTGAAACATGAAGGAACAGAATCATTATGGCTGAATATAAAACAACGCCATTGTTTCCAATCACCACCATAAAAGAGGAATCTACAGAATCATGAAAAAAATCAATCTATGAACATGTGGACCAAGTACCAAAAAGGGTTTCTAAAAAATTTCACTTTCATAGACTAGTTGTATTGAACAAAAGCAGTACATCAAACTCATGGAAATATTTACAGACGGGAAACATAACAGGAAAGGAAGAACATGACTTAATTATAAACCATCTAAATACGAATGCCAGCAGCAGGCATTTCGTTAGGACAGTCTAGAAAACATCAAGATGATTAGAGTTTTCCAAAAGCTTTATTCCATAGATATTTTGCCCCATCATTCCACCTCCAAAATGATACTACACAGCATGATCAGTAACCCTCAATCACTGGATGAGCCAAGCTGAAGTTAATGCAGATTATCTTAGTAAACTCCTAAGAATCTTAGTAAATTATCTTGGTTATGTTCTCAGTTCAAACCACTATTCCGGTCAATACTCCTGTGCAGGTAACCAACAGGAGGAAGCATAAAGAATCCTGCCCTTCCATCCCTGCAACATCCAGTGGTTGTCTTCATCAATTACAAAATCTTTGTGGTACCAAGTCTTCAACTTACCCCTAACTGTCTTCATCAGTTCCTGGTCCAATGGAAGTAGCTTGAACCCTGCCCTTCTCATCCGAATCTGCCATTGCTTGTATGTCTCTGGCCTCTGAACCCTTGCCGAGCCCTCACATGCTACAACATTCACTGCATCCCGCCCATAAAACTCTCTCTCAAACATCAACCTTGCAGGTTCTTCACGACCTAACGTATTTTCAAACATATCAAATATTGCAGAAAGATGGAATAGAGCCTCCTTGAACCTTGTAACAAAGAAGGGAGAGTTGTAAGATCCATTAACTATGGAGTGAACAAAAATATCAGGGTTCATTTTTCTGATCAATTTTAGCACAGCATTCCTGGGACAGTCCACTTCAGCTGTCTCATCAAGTAGATTCTCAAACCGGAAAAGAGAATTTACAGCAAGCATCTCATTGCTATCAATCTTGATGTCCACTATTTGGATTTTTTCCCAGTTTTGAGCTGCTATACAATTGTACTCAAATGGAACATTAAAGCGCTCACAATACTTTGCCAAGCGACGACCTGTCTCCTCAATTCTTTCAGTTGGGCGGAAACCATGTTGGGGAATCTCTATTCCAGTTATGCGTAGCTTAGGAGGCCCACCTGCTCTCTTTGAGAGATGCTGGATAAGAATGGGCCATTGGAAACCATACCCGATACCAAAATCGACAATATGAAGGGCACTTGCTTTCTCAGCCATGTGGCAAATCATTTTGTTTGCGAAGAAAATTGGTAGCTTCTTAAATGGACAAGCACAAAGGTAACCTTTGTAAGCTTTCAAAATATCAGCAGCTGTTGTCTTGTTGGAAGCTAGAGAAGCATGAAAACTTTGAATTATAGTTCCACTGCCATCCAAGCGTGCCTCAAGGCCATTTGCAAAGAAATGGGCCAACCTCTGAGTTCCATCACCAAGGGGGGAAGAGTGCTCTTTAATTTGCTTTAGGAGTTCACCAGCAGTCCTACGATCATCAGCAGAAACAGCCTGTGCACAGAGAATTAGAAGAGTCCTCAAATCCACCGTTTCTTTCTCCTTCCCTTGTTTTTTGGAACGCGTTTTCCCAACACTGGATCCATTGGATTGTTCTTTTCGCTGAAAGGTTTTGCTTTCTGTAGCATTCATACCACACATAGCATTTTCTTCAGAACAAAGCAACACCTTATCAAACATTTCTGACAAGTCAATCTCTTCTGTATAAGTTGCAGATTGCTTGTTACTCCTCTCTTCTTCCAAGTCTCCATCATCCCGTGCATGATTCTTCCTACCCCTCGACCCATCAGGCGAGTTCTCTTTCTCATCCTTCTCCACCTTGACTGCAACATTTGGAACCTTCCCCTTTTGCCCCACAGGAAAGCTATTGCTTTCGAGGTCAATAATTAGTTGATTACTACTAGGGAGGAATTTACTGGCTTCCTCAAACCCTCTCTGGAACTGCAAGACAGATTCCTTATCACTGAAGATGTTCTGAACTAGAAGCTCCCTAACAGAAGATTCCATCTGCCCATTACCCATGTTACTCAAGCTACTAGTTGAGTTGACAGAAAATTGTGAACTGGGCTGAAAGTAGTAGTCACCAGAAAGAGGAGATTGTAACAAGGAAGAAGCAGGCTCTCTAACTTCACCAACCCCCTGATGATCAATATAATTACTAGTCCCATTACTGGTGCTAATACTAGTACTTGAATGGCCATTACTACCATAATCACTACTACTGCCAGAAAGATTACTATCAGGACTCTCCATATTCAGATTGAGAAAAGGTTGGGGTTGATTTGTTGGAGGATACTGCTCACCAAGTACTTCATATAATGATTTCTCGGTGTCTTCAAGAGCCAAATAATCATTTAACATATAAGGTTTATCCTCCATGTTCTCTTCCATAAGCATCAGGCTTATGTACTTGAGAACTGGATCCGTGGACTCACTGTCATCGGAAGGTGAAGCAGATTCCCCCTCTGGAGTCCAGCTTGTGGATGCAGAAAACGAGCTCCCATCTGAACTTACAGTTACAGATGGAACAAAAAAACCCGGGTCCGGTTCAGGAGGTATAACAGGAACATTTATATTCATAAAGTTGAGATCTGGAGAGGGGACATTAAACTCAAATCCATTTGTGAAATTTAGATACTGACCGGAATTGAGTTGAAACGTATCATCTTCAGCTTTGAAACCGTTACTATAATCAGAGAAATCAGTGAATTTTGGATCCATGGCCAACTAAAAAACCCAACCCCAAAAAAAGAAAGTCAAACCCTGAAAAAACCCAACTCCAATTGATCTATTGGAAGGCAAGAGGAAGCTTAATTTATTAATCTCACTAAGAAAAGCTATACTGCAGATCGAAAAAACAGGGAACTTGATACCATAACAGATGAGCTATGCGTCAAAGGAGCAACCTTTATGGTGATCTCTAGACTAGACCCCCTGAAGATTTAAACTTTGTGATATCTAAACAAATATAAGATCACAAAATCGCCATAGAAAAGGGAAAAAAAAACAAGGAAACATTAAAAGAAAATCAAATAAAAGGGAAGCAAATACCAGAGAAAGACCCAATTCAACAAAAGTGAGAACTTAAAGCATAGACTAGTGAAGTGGCAGGAAACAAGCCTTAACGTACCTTAGAGAGAGAGCCTAAGAGGAAGTTAGAGGAAAGAAGGGGAGGAAGGAAAGCCTTTCGAGAAAGATGCAGAGCTGGTCTGGTAAATATCGAAGAAGAGAGGAGAGGCTGAGCCCTAAGGCCTGAAGGGAAGAAGGGAACTTTCCAGGAAAGGCATGAAACTCTAATATATAGGAGAGTGATCAAGACAAATTCAACATATTATGGGAGACTTTGGAAAAAGTGTTGGCCCCATTCTTTCAGCGGCTATTGGTTAAGTCAGCATGGTATGATGGAATCTGGCATATCTGGTTTTTCAATTTTTTTTCGTTTAGTACATCCTATCTGTATCTTTTCTGGGTAAATTCAAATAATTGTGTCAATCTTACAATTGCAATAATTAATCTTATATTTATTATTATTTTTAATATCATCGAAATTAATTTTATTATTTATTTAAATAAATTCATAAAATTTAAGAAAGAAAGAATATGATATGCTAGCTTCTTCAAAATTATTGCAAACAAATTTCAATATTCATCGTAAAAAAGGTATTGCTTTCATCGATATTAATGAAAGATTATTAGTTTCAACTTAACATATGAAATTTTCAACGTAAACCACCAACGCCACAAATCATAAATTTCAAGATAATTGTTGTCCAGGGCCTTTTTTCTTGCAGAATTTGACTGAAAAGTATCCAGCGGATTGGTATAGGAAACCATTTTCGAAACATATATATATATATATATGTTTATATAATCTGGGGGCCTCTCCTTCACGTCTGACGTTGATGTTGAACCAGAACTGAACAAGACGCAGCTACGCCTAGATGTCAAGCTGCAATCAGGGCCAATATCACAGGCGTTGAGCCTTCTTGTAGCTCACAATCACGTATACAAATTGGGTTTTCCAGGGTTTTGTTTATCATATACATACCATCACAATTAATCAGTTATTTATAATGAAAATTCAAGTCAGAACAGCAATAGAAAGATTTTTATTGTAAAGAAAATTCAAGTCAGAATGGTTTACCAGTACAAAGCCACCGGCGACCTGAAATCCCAAATGCACCAGTTTCACTAGATTGCTTGGAATTCAAGGCTTTCTTTTGGTTCTCTCTCTCTCTCTCTTTGGAATAATTTTCAACAGTCAAAGGCTCACTAACTTTTTTATGTATAGTAAAACTTGAGAAACAAGATTCTCCAACCAGTGTGAGCACTTTTTGTGATTCATAAGTGGAGTGGATGGATGGCCTCCAAGTTTTACTTGTAGTATTGTGTAGTACGACACTACTTTTCCAAGTTTTCAACATCTGGGAACCCATAAATCTACCAAATCCAGACAGATTGATCATGTTGACTGCCTGCCATACCATGAATGAAATCATTTTAACTATAATTGTGTTTTCAAGCACAGGATTTTTTTTTGTTACACTCTTCTTATGTTTGATTACTCCATTTTTCTGCCATTTTTGTCAGTGTCTGATTTTGCAGTTTGAATATAATCATTGTAAAGTGCAGAACAGGGAACAGAATCCGGGGAAAGATTTCCTATGTACAGATCTAATTGTTTACACATGATTGCATGTGTATTGAAAAACGAGATTATATAAAAATGGAAAATCCCGTCAAAACTGGCTATCTTTATTACTATATAGGTATATTAATCAACAAAAATCTTTCTTGTCGATAGATTAACAATGGAATCTGTCACAACTTTATATATCCACCTTTTGTCATCAAATTCATGCCAATCCCCTTTAAAACACATTATCAATAAGAATTAACGTAAATGATTAATGTTTAATATTTATATATAAAATATTTAATTTCGAACTCATTTATGGGTTGATGGTAAATTAAAAAAAAATTTCAAAAAAATCCTAAATTTCACATACGAATTAACAGTTTATCTTGATCTTAAAAATAAAATAATTTCTCTATTCCTAAATTTTTTTAATAATAAAATTCAAATGTATGTGCATATAAAATTTCTCTTTTTTCTTTTGTCGAATGCTCTCGGGTACTCCTGACAATTGCCGGTGGAAAGATTTTGGTTGGTCCTCATTGGTAATATAATAATTTTATGTGGTCAATCTCCCAATCCAAATTGTACCTGGTAGAATAATTAATGGAGGCGATTGTCATAATCCTGCTTGATGGGTAGAAAACAAAAGGAAAACCAATTTGCTTGGTCCCGATTCGACCCCCTATTCCAATTCTACTATTCTATCTTGTTTATGATTCACTGACACAGTAAAAAATCAGCCAAACTTGAAAAAAAAAAAAAAAGAGGGGGTGGTGGGAATAACCTTTGAATGCAAGATTCTGATTCCTAATTATCAAATTCATTTTGATTTAGTAACCAAGTAATCGTTATCTTCAACTGTTACTCTTTAATAACTTTCAAAAGATGCTTTCTTAGATTGATTAGTACATAAAATATTGCGTTAAAATATGTGTCAATGACTTTCAGTATCCGCCTGATACAATGAACATCGTCTGCCACAGATTAAAATATTGACCACCAGCTCCATTAATTCTTTTCTTTTTACTTGATTGCCTTGGCTTGCGCCTCACACCTCAAACCAGGCGAGTAAATGCTTCATTAATTATTCAACGATTAATTTTGTTGGTTGTCTTAACTGATAGCTGACTCCAGCACAAACTGTGACATAACATGAGCAGACAGTTTTGTCAAAGCTGTATTGGACCATGGTTAATTTTTATTCTTATTTTGAATTATATGAAACATTTAGTCCTTCCCTTCTTGACTTAGTGATCAAGTAAGCTTTAAGAGGACACCAAGATCTTGGTTTGCAGCCAAGACTTCTTCCTTTCCTTTGAGGAATATGCCATACAGACAAAAAAAATTTTATTTGAAACATCTAAAGATCTCAACCTCGAACTTTTGTTACTAGACTCAGGGGGCCGCCGCCTGGTTTTATTCAACTGTTCGTTCTAGAAAAAGTTCTTCATAATGATTCAATGAATGCAAACGCTATAAAGTTTGGGCAACACAATCCCCAAAAGATAAAAAGAAACAAGTTAGCAAGAGCAGCCACTGCCACTACCCCAATGCTGTAAGAACCAAGGCCATGGATTATGGATAAATAATAGTACTACATCGTCTATGAAGTTTCACTAACTACATTCAATGGCGCCGCTAAAAGGGCCTATGTACGATGCTACGTAGCATATGACACCATCAAATCTTTGCTCTTATATAAGGAGCGACAGAAGGAATTGTCATTGTGCACGATACTACAACTCGGTTTGTTGAAGATTACAGAAAAAAGATGAAATTAATACAAGCCACTGCCAGGTCATGATGAAACTCCAGCATGAATTACCTTCATTCATTCTGAGGTAAAAACAAAAGTCCTGCCAGACTATTGCAGAACACTCATCCTAAAGATCGATGTCAATTCCTGGCTTGAACAATGATCTCACTAAGCTTGACCCTAAACTGGAGAGATTTCCACTTGTTGCCCTCTTCCAGTAGTTTGAGTCTTATGCAGGTATCCATGCAGAAGATGCGTAGATAATTCGACCCTTCCATCCCTGCAACATCCACCCGCCATCCACATCTACCACAAAATCACTGTGGTAGCACTCCTTCACCTTATCTCTCACTTTCTTCATAAGTTCAGCGTCTAATGGAAGCTGAGTAAACCCAGCCCCCAAATTTCGAACCCGCCACTGCTTGTATGACTCAGGTCTCTCTACTCTTTCTGTGCCTTCGCATGCTATAATATTCATAATTTCCCGCCCATAAAACTGTTGTTCAAGCATCGGCCTCATATGATCTTCATGAGGGACAACGGTCTCACACATATCAAATAGCGCAGAGAAATGGAAGAGTGCCTCCCGGAACCGTGTGACGAAAAAAGGGGCATTGTAGGACCCATTAACAACACTATGAACAAAAATATCTGGATGTATCTTCCGAATCAAGTTTAGAACAGTATCCCTTGGACTGTTCAACACTACCGTCTCATCCAGTAGGTATTTAAAACGAAACAGACAATTCACAGCAATAACTTCATTGGAATTAATCTTGAGGTCCTCAGTTCGGACAGTCTCCCATTTCTGAGCAATAGCATTGTATTCAAATGGAACATTGTAACGCTCACAATACCTTGCCAAGCGATGCCCAGTCTCCTGGACTCCTTCAGCAGGCCGGAAGCCACGTTGGGGAAATTCTATTCCGGTAATGCGTAATTTTGGAGGGCCACCAGGTCTGTTTGCAAGGTGATGGATTAGAGTAGGCCACTGAAAACCATTAAAAATACCAAAGTCTATAATATGGAGCGTTGTTGCTTTCTCTGCTACCTTCAGAATATTGTTCTTTGCAAAACAAATTGACATCTTCATGAATGGACAGGCTGAAAGATAAACATAGTAAGCTTTCAACATATCAGCGGCTGACGCTCTTTTAGCACCCAAAGAGGTATAAATCTGAGTTCCAGTGCCAGCTAAGCGTGCTTCAAGGGCATCAACAAAGAAATGAGCTAACCTCTGAGACCCATCACCAGAGGGCGAAGAATGCTGCCTAATCTGCTTTATCAGTTCATTAGCAGTCACACTGTCATCAGACGAGATAGCTTGTGCACATAAAATCAGGAGAGTCCTTAAATCCACTGCTTTCTTCTTACCCTGTTTCTTGCCACGAGCCTTCCCAATACTGGACCCATTAGTTGGCTCATTCTGCAAAGCCTTATTGGCAGTGCAAGTGGGAGAAGATTGCCCTTTTCTTCCATCACAAATCAACATCTTATCAAACATGTCTGATAGCTCACTCTCATCCCCCAAAACTGCTGACTGTTTGTTATTCCTCCCCTCTTCTAAATCTTCATCTTCTCGAACATGATTCTTCTTTCCTGTCAACCGAGGTGGTGAGTACTCCTTCCCATCACTCTCCAATTTGACTACCATCTTGGGAGCCTTTTGTTTCAACTCTGAAGCCCATGCATTGCTCTCAAAATCAATATTCAGCTGATTAACTTTGGGTAGGAACTTACTAGCTTCCTCAATCCCCCTCTTGAAGTGCAATGCCAATTCACTCGGACTAAAATAATTTGGAATTGCAATCTCACTCACAGAAGACCCTGCCAACTCATCCCCATTGTTAGCACTATCATTTTGAAAACAACCTGAAGACTGTGAGCCAGAATTCACTGTAGACTGAAAAACAAAGTTATCAGGAATACTTGTTTGTGACAAAGATGGTTTGTTGTTGTTTTCCCCAAAATCACCATGAGACAGCGAATCTATTGAATTGCTAGTACAAGAACAAGATCTAGAACTAGAACTAGAACTAGAATAAGTGCTATGATCACTGGGAGTACCAAAAGAAAAGCTATCTGGGCTCTCAACACGTCGGTCACTACAAAGAGGGGCTTGATTGCAAGTAGGATAGCTATCGCGAAGAACTTCAGAAAGAGATTTCTCTGCAGCTTGAAGAGCCAATGAGTCATGGAACATACATGGCTTCCCTTCCGTGTCCTCTTCCAAAAGCACCTGGCTTATGTACTTGAGAACAGCGTCGGAGAAGTCACTGTCATCAGAAGGAGAAAGAGAATCTCCCTCTTTGGCCATGCTCAAAAATGATGGAGAAGTGCTAGAATTATCCAAACCGAGAGAAGGTAAAAATGGGACACCTATAGAGCTGAAATCTAAAGATTGGCCATTTGATCTAACCCCACTAGAAATTTCAAATTTTGGGTATTCATTTGAATTAGGCAAAATATACTCACTATCAAACTTGAAACCAGTAACTGAATTAGGGAATCCATTGAACTGTGAACCCATAATTTACTCAATTATTTTACAGGCTAAACTTACAACCTAATCACAGACCATAATTCAACACAAAATCAGGTTTTCTTTCCAATCTCTATTAAGAATTCACAGACATGGAAAAACCCACAACCCACATAGAAAAAGCTGTCAAATTTGGAGGCTAACAATAAAAAATAAAATCTTTTCCCCATCTAACAGAACCAAAACCATACAAAGACCCGAGAAACATAGCAACAAGAAACCTTAGAACAAAGAAAAACAAAACCAGCTAAAATTCTAACAAACAACTAACAGCTAAAAATTCATACCTGACAGAACACAGAAGAAGAACCTAGGATTTAGAGCTGGTACAATAAAGCAGAAGAAGAAAAAAATGCATTTTTTATTATTACTTTATAAAAAGGAAGTGAAGAAAATAGAGAATCTTTATCAATACAGGTCATAGCATTTTGAAAGTTTACCGGCATAAAAAAACAAAGCTTTCTCTTTTCCTTTTTCTTTTTTTTTTTTTTTCATTTAACAAACAAATCAGATTTGTGCGCAAATTCTAGGGCGCAAATGGAAATTTCACCGCACCGTCCAGGCGGCCATAAACTTGTTGGTGGACTCTTTTTTCTTTTTGTGTTTCGCTGACCGTGATTGGTTTGAAATTTCGTGTTGTCCAATGGAGGGTTTTGTGAGTGTCAGACCGACCAATCAAGACAGTTCCGTCTCTACCAAGTCAAGAACGTGGGACATAATTTAACGGGGCTGGACTGATTGTTCCATCAATTGATGCGGTTCAATGTCTTCAAGGGAAGAATTAAACAGGTAAATCATGTTCCGGGAGGCAAGTAAATCTTGCTCTCACTTGTAATAATAAACTAGAATAACGAAAATTGCCATTCAAACATTCTAATATAATTTGTCAATCTCCCTAATTAGATTCAATCAGGTGATATTCTTGACAAACCATTGTCTTTAATTGATAATTTTAAATATGGTATAATAACATAATAAAAAATATATGAAAAAAAATGACTTCAAATTTTAGTAAATATGATATATAAATTTAATAAAATATAAAAAAATATATATTTTATATTTGATGTATTGATATGAATTATAATATAATTATTTTTTCGATAAAAAAATTATGAATTCAAATCTTATCAACAAACACTTGTTAAAGTGATTTTAAATAAATGATATACAGTAACTTATTTTATATTATTTAATACGATATATTTTATCTTGATATGTGAGATTAAATAATTTATTTATGTCGAATTTATCGCGTTAAAAAATATATATAATTATTTTTATATTTTATATATATTTAATATAAAATAAACATATTTAAATACATATCCTGAACTAAAAAAACTTCGAAGATAACAATAACAACTTATGTTTGCAAGCAAAGCAATAAGTATCAATTGGTGTAATTGATCACATCAAACAGCTTTTTATGATAGTATTAACTAAGATCATAATTTTCAGCTTAATTCAGGGATTTTCTAGTTAATCTTATATTATTCCTTTTTTTTTAAAAATATTATATGAGGGGTTTCAACTCTAAATATATAAATCCATGCAAAATTTACTTGAGGTATATATGATACAACTTGAAAAGTCTTTTGGTTTTGATATTAAAATACAACTTGTTTTCTTTTTAATATAATTAAAGAATAACTTAAACCATCTGATAATCACCCTATGTAAAAATAATGGTCTCAACAAATTTTGATCAGTTTTTTTTTTTTCTTGGTTTTTTTTTCATGTGGTTTATCTATTATAGAGAAACAATGAATAGAGTAAACATAAATATATCAGAATCAGTTTTTTAATGAATTTAAAATTCAATTAAATTGATTCGTACATTTATTTTTTAAAATGATATTCAGTAAATTTAATATTTAAATTTCAATATTTATAAATTTTTTATTATATCTTTTGTGAAAAAAAGAAAAAGGAAAAAAATCTACTTATATATATATATATATATATGACTTCAGTTTAATAAAATAGCAGGGTTAGAGGTTCCTTTCCATGGCTTTTTCAAATTCTTTTTATATATAAAGAAAACAACATTTTGAAGAAGTCAACAAGTGAAAATAATTAATAAAGCAATCCCAAGACCAACTTGCAATCCAGAAGATCACTTTTAAAAGCTAAATAAATAAACAGAGAAAATAATCCAAAAGACCAATTTTTCTTGATGATTGGAGAGCTCATTATTTCATACATGTAAAAGCACCCAGTTTTTCCTGCTTGAGCCATTGACCCAATATTAAATTTATGAACATTACCATCAATTTGTTTAATCATAATCTTTTCTTAATTACAAAATAACTGGTTGATCTTTTCTTACCTGGTAAGGACAGGAAGCAAGAGCATTATTAAATCAAAAAAGAAAGACCAAGAACACAGTTTTGATAGCAATGGCAGAAGAAAAAATTGTTCATTGACCATAATTCATGCATGTGCATTATGAAAAGATATGTTAATCAGACCTGCTTTGTCAAAATGCAAATAAACGTGGGTATTTTTGTAATATCTCAATTTTATATAGAAAGATTTTAAAATTTTTTTATAATATATAAATAAAGATTTAAATTTAAAATTATGAAAAAAAATTTAAAAATAAAAGTATGAGGTATTTAAATCAAAACGGATAATATTTCATAAATTAAATATAAATTTTCATAAATAATATCAAAATGATCATGAGTCAAATAAGAGTTAAGTGTTATATCATAAAAGTTATATTTAAAATCTTGTAAAAATTAAATATTATACGATAAGAGTTATTTTTAAAATTTTAACGTTTAATATGATCTTATGCTTTGTGTTGGATTTATCTAATATTTAATTTGATTTAATTGAAATTTGTAATATTTTAATTTCACGTTAAAAAATTTAAAAAATTTATTATAATATATTAAAAAAATTAAAACTCTAATTTATGAGATATTTTTTATGAAATAAAATTATGAAATATTTTAATTAAAACAAATAATACTTCATTAATTAAACGCGGGTCTTCGTAATTTTAGTCATGTTTTCCACCTTCATCTTTTCTTCTTTGACTGAGACTGATACCTGCCCCAGCTGAACCAATAGACAATGAGGCCTATTCTTTGCATGTATGATACATCTGTCTTCAAAGGGTGGTCGCTCAGTCAACCTTCCATAATTTGTTTTGTTTGCCCCATGCATTCCTCCTTCACCATTGATTTTTCAACAGGCTGAGCTGAGATTGCAAGCTGTTAAATTTTGTTTGCTTCAATCCTAGCAGGCAGCTGAAGATGTTGAAAAAGAAGCTAAAGTAACATCCGTGTGACATCTTTTTAGTGTTTTTTTTTTTTTTTTCAATCATTTATGTTTCTTTGCCGCACATTTGAAATTATAGGAATTTTTTATGTTCATAGTTGAACAATGTATTCTCTTCTTGCAAGTCATTTCAAAGAAGAGAATTCAACCTCAACAGGGAAGCTTTGCAATTTTTTTTTTTAATTTTGTTTTTTTGTATAAAAAATTACTATTAAATATTGTAAATTTGTTTTTCAATTGCAAAAGAAATAAGATTTCTCTTTGCTTTCAAACTCTATTTATTTTTATTATAATGGTAATTTATGATGATTTTCTTAACATACAAGTAAAATACTCTTTTGCAACTAAGCACTGTATTGGGCTGAACCACCCATGTTGGATTTGTTACAGCTAAAATGGGCTAATGTATATGTCCTTTACCTTCAGTTGTATGAGACTTCACTAGATTTCTATGGCTGGGCCAACATTTTGCTTTGCCTTTGACAACCGAAAAAGAAAAAGTGAATTGAACTGAGTTAAAAAGCTCTTATTTCATCAACATCCATTTACAAAAAGGCCAAGCCTCTCCATTGCAAGAGAAGAATCAGGCAAGAGCAGATAAAATATTACATGGATTTCTTGGTACTTCTGTTTCTTCCTTGTCATAACTTTTTTACATAATCACAATAAAAATACAAGAAACTAAGAGAAAAAAAAATGATTAGAAAATCATTCACTAAACCCATCATTAAACTAAGTTTTTTTTCATCAACATCATATCTGCTACTAGCTCTTTATTTTGGAGTGTTGTAAAGAAGAAGGCAGGTCTCTGGCTGCTGTGGCTTCAGTTGCTGCTTGGCTTGATGCTGGGACCAGTAGGCATGCGCTGTTAGGACCCTGTCCAAGAGCTCCTGGGGCACTGGCTCTCCCCGCCTTTGCTGGGGGGATATTCTTGCCGTGTGCACTAGTGTTTTCCACTTATCCTGCGCGATTCCAAAATATAAACCATCACAACCATGCGATAATGCATTTGAGATACTTACAACTTACGCTGTTTGTTTCCTTTTTCTAACTGAAATACCCAAAGCAGCAGAAAGATCCAACTAGCCACATTAATACACAAATGTATTAAGCTAAAACCTCAAGGAAAAACACGGCATTGGGTTAGAAATCGTGTGAGATTAGGATTCAAAAGTTTCCTTGTGGGGTAGTTGTTATTTTACAGATAAAACAACAAAGTTGATAAAAGCTTGTAAAGACTTTCAAACCATATTTACCTGTTGTACAAACTACCATGTGCCCTGGTAGGGTCCAAGATATAAAGTGGACCATTTGAATTTTAAAACAAGGGTTTTAAACAAAAAGGATTAGGAAACAAACATATAACATTATAAAAGGAATGAAAATATGATATACAAGATTTCAATTGGGAAAAGCGAAATGCATATTTATCAGCAGGTCACGTGGAACTTTTAGAGATTAGCCCAAAATCTAAAATATAAAAGGCAAAAGAACATAAGAAACAATTTTGCACTGGCTTTATGAAAAAGCAGGAGAATTTACTTACCTTCAAATCCACATAAGTGCGATGCTTCGCGTTATCAAAGGCTCTTAATTTAACATCACGCCACCTGCAGATTAATAAAGCCATTATAACCCTGACCCTCACAGCATAAAAGATTAATAAGCCATTAACATCAGACAATTAGAACAGCTGTTTCTAAGTTACATCCAGCACACTCCCACAAATAAAGAACAGGACCGAGTGGCAAAGAAAACAGCATTCTAAATATCTTCTGAGCACATACTTTTCCCTAGACTGGCTACTGAGGCAAGGATTCATGCAAAATTCTGATTGGGAATCATGCTGAATCGATTGAATACTAGCAAGCAAAGTAGCAAATTTCAAAGACTCGACCTCAGCTCAACAGCTCCTCATAATTTCTTTGGTAGGTTCAAACATACCTTCCAGTTCCAAGTTTCTCAACAGCCTGAACCAGGGCTTCAACTTCAGCAACAGAGAAAGGTCGACGAATTCTACGCTGCACAACTTCAGATCGCTTGGATTTCCTATGAGCTGGAACCGCAGCTAGTGCCTCCACACTCATTGCTGGTACAGCTACCAGAGCTTTAGAATCAGTTAGGTTTTTTCCCAATGACATGTCAGTAGGTGCAGAATCATGATCGCTTTCAACAAAGTTGCCCAAATTAAGCATGTGAGGCTCAGGTGAGGGATCACAAGTAACCTGATTAACTAAACCAGGATTTGCTGGATGCCTGGCAACAAACAGTATTAAATCATAAACTGAATCTAGTTAGAAAAACTGAATTGGATACCTAACAACAAAGTTCCTATAATTGCTAGCAATTGCAACATTTTCCATTTCTCCAAAAAAGAAAAACCACCTAGTTGGAAGTGACTGTTCTTTTTTCTGTGTTTAACTCTAGAAATCAACAAAATGAGATCATTTTTAAACCATCACAAACAAGTAGATATCTGCTAAACCTGTAAAACTATTTTTATTACCTAGCCAGAGGAAGAGGAGTGTCACAGGGACATTTTAAGGGAGAACTTCCAGGGCATAACAAAGGGGAAGTTTGTGAAGGGTTAGGCTCCAGGCTAAAACCCAGAGCATCCATCTGGTCATCATGAGAAATTCCCGTCTGCAGCAGAGTTTTGTTGTCTTCCCTAACCTTCTTTCCTTGAAGAAGTACACCAACGCGCAATCCGCCTCCAAGTATCGCTGTTACTGCCTCCATAACAGTCCTCTACAGATCAATTTCACATCATTAGAAGGAATGCTAATGACCAAGCCAACCAGTAGAGAAGACCAGTCACTAGAATTACAATTTACAAGAGTCGAAAGATATCCAAGTATTCATCATGGGCTGATGTAAGATGGTGCTTCCAGAAAGACATAAATACACGTTCACATAGTGAAACAAACAAAGCAGACATAATTCTTCAAGGTCTGAATGTAGCAAAATGTGGTAAGAGAAATCCCAGATTGCTCCATTAGCCAGCAGCTCAGCATACAAAAAATTAAAAGCCAAAAATATCTCTAAGCATTCTGCTTTCAAATACCAAAATTTGACTACAATGAACAGCAGCCAAAGGTTTTACCACAATGATCAGAATCCTATATCATTATACCTTCAATGAACCAACAGTTGCAGATTCTGGAATTTCGATAAACAATTCTGGCACCCTGAAAGATTTGATCCTAAGCTTCACTGAGTAAAAGGAAAGACATCTTGATATAAGAACCTCTTTGAATGTCAGACACCAATCAAGTGAAAAGAGTACATATGAATCACTCCAAAGGCTCTCATACCATGAGAATCCCTAGAATGAAATGATTTGCGTTGGTCTGCTAGTGAGGAAGATTCTCCAGTGACTGTATAGAATCAGTTAGCAAAATACTGCTGTTAGCAATAGCGATAAACTCAAAGAAAAGCATATAATGGCTAGTGATGAAAAGCATGCAAATCACCTCCATGCATCTTTGGGTATACACTGGCAGTATTTCCATTGATGCTCTTCTCAGGTGAGTCAGAAATGCCCTCATTGCTGGTTCCTCCATCCGAATTTGACACTGAGCTATAGTGTAAAAACTTCCGTTTTTTGAAAGGATAGTTCCTTTCAGATCTTAAGCATTTGTAAGTGCTCCTACCATAGTAACCAGACTTTGAATTCTCATCTAAAGGATCAACATAACCGTTTAATTAAAAAATTACACAGTTGTCAATAACCTATTTAATGGTACCAGACAATTTACTCAAAGTTGCAATGATTTTGACTACAAGAAGCCACATACCAGAATTGGAAAATGTCACATCCTTCAATTTCGAAGCTACTTTCCAGTATTTAGAAGCCAATATCTTCCTTATTCTTCGATCTCCGATACAAGGTGTTGACCTAAATGAATCTTTTATGCGGCTAGGGTGAGTACACCCTGAAGATTTTTCATCATCATCTCTACTAACTACATTTACATCATCCCTTCTCAAGGGAAAAGACCTAAGGGGATTGTGGTCCCCACATGAACGTAGCTTACCACTACTGTCTGAACTAACTAGAGGAGGAGGTTTACCATCCAAGACCACTGGATCCTCTAAGGGGCATGTATCAGCTACTTCTCCAGTCGAAACCTTATCAGTTCCATGCAGCTCCTCATCTTTCAGCCTTTTATTTTCAGCCTCTGGTTTAAGACAACCACCAGATGTACCACACAGAAAGGGACCTGTCTCTACCTTACAAGGCAAGCTTCCCATTTCATTCTTGATTTTTCCATTCATCAACTTCTGAGCATCAAATCGTTCTGAACAATCAGAACTTGTTATAACAGAGGCAAATCCTAAATGAGCATCATTTTGAAGGCTTGGTGATTCCCTAGAACTATAGTTTGGGTCATTAGTTTGTGAAACAAGCTCAGAAACATAGAATTCCCTACTAGTGCTTTCATGATTGCAAGTTTCTAGCTTCAATGATTGATCTCCATCTTGCCTTTCCTCTTTTACAGTAGTTTTTTCAACTCCAGACTGATCTTCAGCACTCGATGTATTAGTAGAAGCACGAGAACATTCTTTGTCTAGTAATAACTTTCCAGCTACAGTGGCCAGTAAGTCAAATGCACCTACTTGACTGTCTTCAACTCTCTTTCTAAATGGAACCCTTTTCTATAAAAAAGGAAAAAGTAAAAGTAGTCATTTATAATAGATCATTTTTTTTCCCAAACAGGAAAGGAAAGAGAGATAAATATGAAATACAATACCGTCACAATAAAATATATTACCCTGGCAGATCTGGTTGCTCGCGGAGTAGCAGGCACCTGATAGCCATTGAATCCATAGTCTAACCTCTTCTGCAACACCATATCTCAAAGATCACACCGCAAAGAACACATCATATGTAATTCACAGCATTTTTGAATCAATTTCCAAGAGATACGAGTATGATGTCCAAACTAAGCTTAGACCCTGACAAAAGATGAATGTGACATATATTGAATGTACAATGAATAAATAAAATTATTACCATTTAAGAAATAAATTAGATAATAGAAAATGAAATTCAAGGCATGACAAAAAATCAAAGAACAGAAAACATTCTTTCTATAAGAAAACAATAGAACTTAATAAAACACATGGCAAAATAAAATTCATATGCCACTGACAAACAAAGGCAACCCTCATAAAAAGTAAATACAGATTAAAACATCTATATACCAAAAGCCACTACATTTGGATCCGCAGCCAATCAGTCACAACAATCAAAATAGCAAGATGTGCTTATGATTTTAACCTTTTACTGGTTATCTTCAACTTTTACATAGGAATCCAGGCCTCCAACTCCATTCATTCACCCCCAAAAAAGAAAAAAAAAAAAAACCCACAGAGACATTTTCACAATTGTCAGTAAACCCAGAAGCAAAGGGCACTGACTCGATCCGGTAATTGTAATTTCAAAATGATCCACACAATCTGATGGAAAATCCATGCCACCATCAACCCTCCCTCTCCATAAAAAAGGCCTTTTATTTTTATTTTAAAAAAAAAAAAACAGACACACACACATGCTTATGCATCAAACATGAGATAAATAGAACCATAAATTTGTCAACTTGAAAGAAACATTGAAAAGGAAGAGAACTGATGGAGACTTAAAAACAAAGGAAAAAAAAAAAAGGAATTCCCTGTTCAAAACATCAGAATTTTCCAAATTCAAGAGAGAGCTGGAGAAGGAATTAAAGAGAAATTAGCAAATTAAACTTAAAAAGAAAAACCCTTAAACCATAACAAAACCCTGTCACAAAGGATCCAATTCCAAATAACTAATTCAGGCATCTACCCGAGAAATTCTGGTAATTTATACAATTTTGCTTTTAAGAAGATCTAAAACCCTGAACAAAAGATCAATCTCCAAAAACCAAACAAAAAAAAAAACTTATAGATAACTGATAAAGAATCTTTGATCATCTCTTCTGTTTTTCCAATAAATTATCTCCAAAATCCCAGATCGAAAATGTTATGACCCAAATTATCGACAAACAGAAGAATTTAACGTTTAAAAGTGACAAAATTTAAGAATTTTTAAAAGAAAATTGAAAAACAGAGGCAAAAAAGTACAGGCATTTGATTGTTTAAAAATTGTAAGCTTAAAAAGATTAAAACGTTGGGTTCATTTAACAACTCTGTTCTCGAATTACCACTGAAATCGAATTTTTCCTTCCACTTTCACACCATTTCTCGGCAACCAAACACAAAAGGCCCCAACTTGACCACAAAAACCCATGAAAAAGTTCAAAACTTTCGAGGAATTCACAAAGGAAAATCAACAAAAAACCGATTTTCTCACCTCTAAACAATGAAACGTTCGCTCAAAACACGAAATTCGCAGCCAAACGTAAGATCGCAGAAAGAACTAACAAATTTGAAAATTCTCTTCCCAGAAGGAAAAAAAAAAACAACTCTCTTCTATGTTCTGTCCCATATTTTCCCGAGAAAACAAAAGGGAAAATTTTCTGTGTGTTTCAAACAAAAGCCATTTGGGATTTACTCTCAAAATTCTTAATTTCTTTTTCCTCTCCAAAAAAGGAAAATAATTTCTTTATTCTGTCTGTTTTTTCTCTGATCGCCAAAACCCTCTCAAGACCACCCAACTTTTGCTTAAACCCCACAGATCTTATACCATTGACCCCTGGTTACCGAACCTACCGGTAGCTACCATAAACTTCACCGGTTATGACCGGCGGGAAGGAACTACCTGAGGACCGTTTCTTCTTTACTGGGTGAGCCACTAGTGTTTCCAGTCCTCCCGGATCTTGACACGTGGCCTAACTTCTAGCCATCCTGTGGCTACGGAACTGTTGCAGGATCGAGAAAAACGTTGGGTCATAAATAAAATGATGTTTAAAATTTTTACTTTGTTTATTTTTTTTTGGTTGTCGTTTTATTAATTGTTGTTGGTAAGCCATTGGCACATCCAATTAAATTTTATTTCTTAGTAAATAAAGTTAAAATAATTAAATATTATGCAAGCATTGAAAACTATTAGCTCAAATTTACCTCTCACCAAATTATATTTTTATATTGTGATGAAAGTAATATTTAATAAATTTAAAATTTTTATTTTTAAATAACAAATTTTTTTAAAAAATCTATTTCAACAAACCTGTTATGTTTTTTTTTTTCGGAAATTTGTGGCTAAATTTTTATAAATAAAAAAGAGTGCCACGTAGGAAAAAGCACGACGGTCCTACGTGGCAAAAAGGAAGGCATCCTTTGGTCGCTTTTTGGTCCGTGTTATTTACAACGTTGTGGTCGCTTTGTGGGAATGGCTGCGATAGTATTTTTATTTATTTTGTATTTAATATAATAGAAAATATTATTTTTATTAAATTCTTAAATCTTATCAATTTTTATATTTTTTCAACGTTTTCGTACAATGTCGTGATTATTTAGGTGGGGAACCTTGACGGCGAAATGAAAATCTCCGTTATATTTAACGTTGACGGCCTTGTTGCGTACTTTCGTGAGGAAGCCGGAGCCAATATGGGAGACGGCCGCCGTTATTTTCGGGGATAAAGGGTGCGGGGTTCATGATGGGTCCTACAAAAGTGGTAGACCCCACATGAAAAATGTCCTTAATTGCAAAAAATCACACGTTGCGAGCGTGCGAGAAGAACTGTTAATTAGGGAATGTGATTAATTTAAGTAAAACTTAAATTCTATTATTATTACAGTGTGGGGATTAAGAAGTACACGTGGCGAGAGCAGAGTGGGTAAGACTGCGGAGCTTATATTCACTCGGCGTGAGTTTAGAAAGAGGTAGTTACGTGCTCAAGGCGGAGAATGGCAGGGACATAATCTAACGCGGATGTCGCCTACACGAAATCCGGACCGTCCATCTCATGTCAAAAACTATAATAAATTTGAATTCAAATCCCAATTTTAATTTCTTTTTTTTATTTTTAAACAACTAACAAATTTACATTTAATCTATTATTTTTATTAAATTAAAAAATAATACATTAAATACATTTTTCTTTGACATTGACTAAAGTGATATTTAAATTTTAAAATTTTAAACATTTTTTAATATCTAAAATTCATTTTTATAGTTTAAAATTATTTTTTTATGATTTTTTTAATTTTTGGACATTAAATTTTATGAAATTTTAATTTTATAAAAAATTTAAAATTTTATATTAAATATATTAAAATTAAAATTTTTATTAATTTCATAAAAATCAATAGATGATAAATATTTTAAGATGGAGAGAATAATAAATATTTATTTACTTTATAACTTACCAAATTATCTAAGAAGAGTTTGATGTATCAACAATAAATGAATTACTATTAATCTTTGGTCCGTGATCGATCAACTAAAACTCTAATACCCAATAACATATGTATTTAGTTGAATCACATTATTTAATTAAAACCATCCATAATTCATGTGACAATGCCACGATAGATTAAAAGAATGAAAAAAAAAAATTATGAGTTCCACTTAGACCACCATTACAGGTCACTTTCTGGAGCTCAGGAAGAACAGACATGCATTCGCATGTTCCAGCTTTGTAACACATGCCGTGGAATTTGATCCAAACCGTTAAGTTTAATCAATAAGGTCATTGGACCACCCTTGATCCACAAGAGCTTAATTGAATTTGGAAGAAAGATTTAGAAACAATATTTTTTAAAAATAATGTCACCTAAAGTTTATTAATACTTCAATTGATAGCACAGTGGATAGAATTCTATCGCATTATGATATTATTTTATAATTCATTTAATAATTTGATTAGCGAAAACTCTGGTTATATTATTATATTATTTTATAATTAAAATTTAATAATTAAAATCTAATTTTTATAAATTTTAATAACAAAAAAATAACACATGCCAATAAGATTTGTTTGTTCACAAGATACGAGTGTAAATTTAATAATTTATGTATTTATATCATATTTAATATGAAAATTATATATTATAATTTATTTTATTATTAAATAATAAATTTTATTTTTTAGTTTTATTAAATTTATTTATAATTTTTATTAAAATTATAAATTATAATATTTTTATATCATTTTATATTATATCACTATATTATATTTAAAATTATAAAGTGCACAAGAGACACAGAAATTGCGTTGGTTAAAGGAAAAAGTTACAAACAAAGAAAAGAAAAAAAGTTGGCTCCCAAGAAAGTTGGAAAAAGACGCCATTCTTTGGATGTTTGATTCAAGATATCTGTCTCCAGCCTGATTAATGCGTGACTCCATTAAATTACTACAGTTTTCAGATAATTTGATCTAAATGAAAAAGAAATAATTTTTTTCTTTGAAAACCCCATTTTCCCACCTGGCATGCTCAGTCAAAACCAAAGCAGCCAGCCAAGGCTACGCAGGTTGGGAATTTGGGATGTTGGCTCCATATACCACATGGCATCACATGATTTAGTGATTATATTTTACAATTCATCGATTTTTTTTTAAATATATAATAAAATTCAATTAGATTAAGTTTTATGTTCTCAATATACTTTTTTTTTATATATATAAAATTACTGCTTAAAAAAATTATATTACTCCAATTCAAATTATAAATTTATTAAATATCATTTCTTATAAAATTAATCTTGCGAAGTTTCATTTCATGGCATTAACAACATTTATTATGGACTAGTCGCGGATGAGACTCTTTAATTACATTATTATCCAAAATTGAACAAGATTAAACAGGCTTATGTTAATGTAGACTGTTTTAATTTTATTCATGTCAAACCTTTCTTCTTTGATCTTTACGTTTGTCATTAACATGTGAATTATCCTAAACTAACTTTTCTGGATGGATAATCAACTAGTTTCCTTTTTGAAGTTATTTTCTTCGAGTTTTTCAATAATTCAAGTCAAATAGAGTAATTAAATTGATGTCAATTAAATTAATATTTTAAAATAATATTATATCTTATTGAGTAATTTTAAAAAAATATTCTGCAATTAAAATTAAGATTTTATTTTGATGATCACAAGTTTAAATTTTGTAATAAATAAAGTTTTATTTATGAAAAAAAATGATGTATGATTCTCGTTACGTAATTCAATATAACATGTATAAAAAATAAAATATTATCTTATGTTTCATTGAAAAATATTTAAAATGACACTTATAAAATTTGTGTTATTTGATAGAAATGGAGAAGGTTGAATGGCAATTTATAGAAGAAACGTTGCTAGAATGTATAATATATATATATATATATATATATATATGAGAAAAAGGGCATAATTTTGTTGCTAAGAAAGGAGATTAGGGAAAGAGAGGAGTTTGGAGTTGAAGGAAGTGTGAGATTTCTTGACGTAAAAGGAATGAACAAAGCTAATTCAATGAGGTCAATGAAAATGGTGTTTGGTTGGATGGGAAATTCTCTTTGCAGGTTTTCTGTGCCGTTGCACCTGTCAACATAGACTTTCTAACAAAACTAAAATTGGAAGACAAATAAAAAAAAATAAAAAATCAAAGGATATATAAGAAAAAATTTTCATTATTGAAAGCAGCTTTCAATTTGTGATTTTGTGTACGTATTTTCCTTGATTCAACTCTTGAATTATATCACTTTCAAGAATTTTGTTTTGGACAAACATTTTATCCCACATATTAATTCTATTAATGATAAATTAATATGACAAAAAAAAATGACAAGTGACATTTTTATTGATTAATATTTTATTTACCGATTTTAATCAATGATTTAAAATATTAAACGAAAATAAAATTTGAATATCCAATCATAATTTTTTTTATAAATAACAAATAATTAAAAATAATATAATTTAAGAATCAGTTTACATATTATAACCAAAACAAACGGCAAATTGGGAGCATGAGTCAAAATTCTGATCTCAGTCATGAACTGATTGATCTAATCCTGTCGTTGCATCATTGCATGTTTTTGCCTTGGTGACACGATCTTTGTCTGTTCTAACGAATCAAGTGGGAAAAATATAAATATTTTAAACTACATTGTTTCATACTTAGCAAAAACAAGACCTTCCAGGATTCTGCTCAAGAAAAAATCTTTTCCTAGCAAGATGCATCATTACTTCATTAGCCCTGACATCGAAGTTATGATGGATCCATGCATTTGAGCAACATGCAAATTATGCACGATGATTATTATACCTCCTAAAGATGGTACGAAGTACAGCCACGACATGAATCCAATGCAGTATTCAAAGGCAATACCCTGTTCATTTACTACAGGTACATCATGGCTAACTCATGAATTCATAATCAAACCTTTGATGATGGCAGATTACAGCATGCAGTTGGTTTATACGTGGTTTAGCTGCATCACCCTAAACAAATGTGAAAAGCCAAGTTGTAGCATTAGGTAATTACTAAAGAAATGAAATTATATATTCCAGTTGAACAATGATTTTTTTTTGTTCCATTGCAAATAAATATGTACAGAAATGTAAATTAGCGACATTACGATGAAATATTAAAACAAGTTGGCGGAACATGACCTAAGAAGACAGAACCCAGAAAAAAAACATATCCTTTCCAACCATCTATTCTGACGCTAGTCTTCAGCTGTCATCCGCTATGGTCATGAAAAATAGTTTCTTGAGAAATTTGGAAGAAAAGTGATGAAAAGGAGTTCTGAAACGTTACAAATTTCCCAAAGGATGATTATAGGATTATGGAATTAGATACAATTCACATATGCCAACAACATATTGC